TGCACAAAGCATCTCCAGCGAATCCAATAAAAGATCATACAAACCTCAACGAACGATTGTCGAGAGTTCAATATTACACATATAATTCGGCCTTGAGTATTCCATACGTTTCTCCGATATTGGCCGATGACTTAGGCGGTTTGGGTGAAATTTTCATTGTGCGTATCTCTTCTGGCACTCGAACTCTTTTAAAAAAATCATTTCTGATTAAATTAAATTCTAAATGATAGACGTGTGGCGGTTGCGAGAGGCTACGGGATGAGTCCATATTGTTTGCTCACAAAGCTGCAAAGACGCATCCTAGCGTTTTTGAGGTGCCAAGGAGAGAAGGTCAACGTACCTACCCCCCTTCAAAAGTGTGCCTCAATATATTCGAGTGCGTATATTCGTCGATGTATCTTTGTTATTAGCGCGTTCAATCTCTTTGTTCTTCTCGTTTACATCTCGACTTCCTTTTTTCCATTACCGTAGTGCGATGCCCCATGTGTTCCAGATTTTCCTATTTCACCCGATTGCCATAGATGCAATAAATCGAACGGGAGATTGGATACGTAAAGTAATACCTGAATCGGTGGTGGGAGATAATAAGAGTGATTCGTCCTACGAATCCCTAAGATCCTATCATTCCCATCGTAGTCGTTGCTCCCATAGTTCATACAATTCGCAGCGTAGTCGAGACGGACCGATGACTCCTCTGTCAACCAATATAGCGGAAGAATACCACGAGGAGGGTGAAATCGACGATGAATTCTCTATATTTACTGAAAAACACATCGACGTCAAAGGTGTTTGTTGGCGAACTAATGGCATGGATGAAGATACACTCAAGGAATGGGTGAACATGTTGGGAAAGTTACCTGATTTCAATAAACATCCGGAATTTTGGGAACCTCTGTAAATTGGGTGCAATTTTACGTAAAAAAATCCATCATTTTAATTTCTTTAATTTAATTTGTTTTTGATTTTATTTCTCCGCATAAAATTCACCCATTATTCACACTTTCGATTACCGTTGTACAATTATCTTATATTAACATTCTTCATTTTTTTCTCTTCCTTTAAACATTTGTTTATACTCTACGCACCAAATCATTCTAAGCACAATTCGCACATAGGCATACAAATTCTTTTATATTTTCCTTTTTTCTATCTTTTAGTTAATTTAATCCATTATTTGTACTTGTTAGTCTTTGAAGTAGACTTAATGGCAAACGATGGTGATTATTAGAACTACTGCATAATTAGATTCGTAGATGTTATTCTGATGGCGTGCAATTAGTTAGGGTGAATTTAATTCCGTTTTTTAGTTATTAATTAATGAAAACGCTAATTCGATTTTTTTTAATTCTTTACAATAATATAATTGCTTAAGTTAATAAAACAAACGACACTATTATTTTTCAGACATGTGATAAACGAATCGTCATGTAAAAATGGTTCAACGAGATTACGCGCGTAAAATAATCTTTATTTTATATAACGGAACAATAAAAAAGACAAAAAAAAGGCATTATCTACAATGAAATGTCAACAGGAATTTATATAATTTCTATTAAAAAAAGATAATAAATAATAAAGTATTGAGATTCGATATCTAAAAAACAGCTGGTAAAGCGTCACACTAGTAGTAGTAGTAATAGAAGGGTTCGGCGTCACGTTTGTAGTAGATGGGTTGGGCGTCACGTTTCTGGTAGTTGGCCTCGGCGTCACGTTTGTAGTAGTAGTAGTAGAAGGGTTCGGCGTCACGTTTCTCGTGGTTGGCCTCGGCGTCACGTTTGTAGTAGTAGTAGTAGAAGGGTTCGGCGTCACGTTTCTCGTGGTTGGCCTCTGCGTCACGTTTGTAGTAGTATGAGGGTTCGGCGTCACGTTTCTCGTGGTTGGCCTCTGCGTCACGTTTGTAGTTGTGGGGGTCGGCATCACGCTTTTCTTGATGTGGGCTAGCATCTCTCTTGTTGTGTGATGGTGCTGTCGAGGATTCGAAATAAATGTATATATATCATTGTCATATATAAAGTTTATATGCTTTAACTGATGTAATAATAATAAATAGACTTACCACCCGTGCTGGTCGAAGCCAAAAGGGCTAATACGAGAACAATTGTGCTATATTTCATTATTTATTTATTTTTTATTGAGAAAATTTGGATTTTATTGTTGACACTTGCTTGTCCTGGAAAGAGAAAAGGGCGAGTTTTTATAGAGATTTTTGTAGTTCGAATTTTTGTTTTGTTAATGTAAAAAAAATATATATTCCGATTTTGTCGACAGCCATTTATTGTCTATACAACGAAGTTAATACCATAACTTACCTTTACCAATTAGAAAGACAGAGTTGTCATATGCCTTTAGAGAAATTAGATGATTGCAAGCCAAGTATATAAGCCTACACCACAAAGCCGATTTGGATCACTAAGCATTCAAAGCGTTCAATGCATTCGACATGAAAAACTTTCGTTATGAATATACAATGTTGTGTAAAAGAACATGTCGCCTATATCTTTTCTCTTTCAATTGTGATCTTTTATTTTGCATACACATCTTGTGGATGTAACAAGCCGCATTAAGCCACGAATGTGTGCCTTGTGTGATTCCCCTTAATTTCTTCTAATTGGTTAATTGAATACTTAAAGCCATGATGTATTTTTCAGGGCTTGGCTTCGATTTCACACTCCACCAGCTATTGATTGCATTTGAGGCTTTTTCGATCACTTCACCGCACTATTCATCCTAAAAACTTAAGGGCTCAACAATTTCAATAAATAAATCCGATTGATAAATGCTACAAAGCCAAGATCATTGAGAAATCATGGCTAGGAAATATAGATTATCGTTTATCAAATTTTGATTTGTGACGCGTGTTACATAAATTCGAGATCGAGGAATATAAAATAGTTTAATAAGTTGTTCCAAATAAACTGATGTCTCTTGAAACAGTAATTGAAATTAGTAAATATTTAATTTCAAATAACATACATAGCCGCAATTCCTCGATGCATGTAATATAAATATTCTTCCTAACACATTTTTGTTTACAGGAATGGGATTTGTATACGAATTTATTTAATTAAACTTCTATTCAATTATCTTATTTGCTCATTTCCATAATTTTATGTATACACATCCGCATTACGAAAATTCTATTTATTTATTATTGACAAAACCAAATAATAATAATACGATAAAAATTATTCGATCGTTGGCATGATCAAATTATTTACAACTGATTAAAAAAATTCTTTAAAAAATAAAATGAAATAATCGAAATAATCGATATGAGTGGTTTTTTATGGTAATAAAATCCGTCGAATTTCGTGCTTTTAATTTATTTTAGAAACTCGTGTATTTATTATAAAAATTGTTTTTAATAAAGAATTGTAAATTGATTAGCGAATCGGATATCAGAATTTTCAAGGATTTTTTTATCATTAACGATTTAATTGAACAGAATAAATATTATAAAGTTGCAAGTCTTGGTTTTGTTTATTTTGATAACAGGAGTCAGCTAATTGTATGTTATCGTTTAAGCATATTTAAATTTGTATTTACTTGCTCGACTAAATTCTTTTGTTATAAAATGTTTAATTTTTCAAATCACAAACATTCAATATTTTTATAGTAAAAAAATCATTAAATTGAGATTTGCTATAAAAAATTATTGAAAATATTGTTTTTTTTTTTACTACAAACAAGCATAAAATACAAGATTGTATTGATTATTAAAAATCATGTCATTATATTAAGCATCCATTTAAGTTAATACTAGTTTATTGCATATAAAATTTCTAAAATGATATTACAGTGGTATCCAAAATTATTTGGAATTTTTCTCAATATGTACAATTCAGTAAAAACTTATCTAAATCAAATATAAATTTAAATATA